GTGGGCCGGCGAGCCTGGAAACCGCTGCCGGGGAGCTCCCCGGAGGGGTTTGCTTCTGCCCGCCTTCAGTGCTGGCACGGTGCGGCTAAACCGGGAGCAGAGAAGGGGTCAGTGTGTTACGCAGGGTGGAAATGTGAATCTTCTGAGCAGAGAGGATGGTGACTGTGCACAGCCTGCTACGTGAAGGAGCTGCGATAGGGATAAAATGTTTGCAGGTATTGAAAGGGTGTAAACAAAACAGAGACAGGCTTACTGGGAAAGGTAGGGCAGGGAAGAATCAGCTGGGGCAGCAATTCTGGCCCCACAGCCTTAGGCAGCCCTGTAATGAGCGCCTCATTGGGAACTCCACTCCTCCTGCATCCGTGTGCTGCAGACGGGGGAACTGCTGAGCCCTCTCTGGGGTGTCTTCTGGGTACAGCTGAGGAACCTGGTACCAGAATGAGAATCTGGACAACACCGGGGATGTACTTTCAGTGGGGAAACGCACCGTGCTTTGGAATGCATTTCTAAGGAGAATTAATGTGTTCAAGTATTTAGGGTAACAAAAAATAATCCCCAATCCAGGGCTGTGGTAGGAGAAAGGTGAGGTAGAACGTAGTCATCAGCCTGACTTGTGGGCAGGGCTCTGATCTCAGCTCTGATTTGGACAGGCAGTGAAACCTACACCCAAACGTGAGGATGATGGGGCAAGGAGGCAATGACTTCATACGCTTGGCTGAATTTTGATCGCTTTCCTCATGTGAAATACGGAAAATCCACAAATGGTGCATCTTAGGGAACAAAAGAGGAACTCTCAACACGAGTAAAAGGACAGAGCTCTGGCCCTCAGTGAGCCAAATTTGAAGATAAGGGGGAACTAGAGAGCCAGGCAAAACAGCTTTAACTGTAAGGACAGTTAATTGGTGTGTTTTAAAAATTAACAGCCATTGTTATAATTGTATCTTAGAAAGGGATCGACAAAGAATTTTACCTTCTCTTCAGTGTGTTTGATGAGAACCTCAGCTGGTATTTAAATGCAAACACAAAGTACTATTTGACAATGGACGAGTCTTCTGTGAGAAAGGACGATGGCTTCGAGGAATCCAACAGGATGCATGGTATGGCCTGATGCTGTTCTGTGTGCAGCGGGCACGAACCTGCGAAACGTGGGGTGGTGTTCACCCAAAGACAGAGCTGGGAGGTGGAGTGGCTGTGTTGTGTTGGCCTGAGATCAAGTGAGGCTGGAGGCAGCGGGTGGGACACAGGGCAAGAAGTACAGCTGTCTCAGGAAGCGTGTCCTGAGCATATTCAGGGTGAATTACAAGCAAGCTGCACTTCCACTGGCAGGCCTGCCCTGTCAATGTGTGTGCACAAAATTAATCTCTTGGCTGGTACCTACCTGCAGAGAGTTAATTGTTTTCTCCTTTGCAGCCATCAATGGACTTATGTTTGGCAACTTGCCTGGGCTGAATGTATGTAAAGGAGACAATGTGTCCTGGCACCTTCTGGGCTTGGGCAGTGAAGCAGATGTACATGGAGCTGTGTTTCAGGGAAACACCCTGCAGATGAATGGGATGCGGAGAGATTCAGCCAATCTATTCCCCCACACGTTTGCTACTGCCTTCATGCAACCCGATAACGAGGGTGAGTGCCTGCACATCTAACTTAGCAGCAGTTGTCTCCCGTTGTAGTATTTGCTCCTGTGGCTGATTCTTTAGCACAGTGTAAACTCTTACAGGCTGAGCTGTGCTTTGGATCCTGTCTGGCCCCGTTTACAAGGCCACAGCTCCTGTCTTTGCATCTGATCCTGGAGAAGAACAGGATATACAGGATCTTGTCCCACACTGTGTCCCAGACTGATTACCTAGACTGCCCCTTGCCGTTAGATGTTTGTAGCGTCAGCCCCAATGGGCTGCCCGTGACCCATAGAAACACGCAAACATGTCGTTCAGAATAAAGTAGCAGAGTTGCCAGAGCTGAACTCCCCTGTCCATGGCTTGTGGGGGTTCATGTTTGTGACGCATCCCAGTCTCCCCAGTTCGCAGGACGGGCACAGCGCCGTGTCTCGTTCACACGATATGATGGCCTCAGCCACCAGCGCTCTCCTCCCCCTCCGCCTGCACAGGCTGGATCTTTTGCTTAACCAGCGTCTCAGCAGTGGTAGCACAGTTGTGTCAATTTCTTGGTTTCTTCACATCTAATAAGCTGGTGATTGTGTAGGGAGGCCTCCTGAGAT